TTGGACATAAACTGGGCACTTTCTGAGTCCGGCCGAGTTGTACTCAGCTTATACGTCAACCGACTCTACCTCGGTCTGCTCGTATTGCCGGCCGCCGTCTTTACAACGGTATGCGCGGTGCTGCGCTATCACATTTTCATCTGGACAGTGTTTGCGCCCCGCCTTATTTACCTTATTGCTTTTCACACCTTCTTTTTGCCCTCAATCTTCTTTTTCGGCATGCTTAGGCGGTAAACTCACACTCTGATCTCTTCTGATGTCGCGTACGTTCCAAATCGAGGCCTCGAGTCTGTCAGCCATCCAATCATCCTCGACTAACATGAACACCTAGCATGCATAAATCAAGACACACGCATACATTCATACATGAACAATACAAAGTTACACATATGTATAAGAATGGAATTCAATATAGACTGGCTCATTTATGTCTCTTTGGTGCTCAGGTTCTATATACACCCACTGAGATTATCTTATCATATAGAGCAGGTAGCCGTTTTCTCTTGTTTCTACGTCATACCTTCCTGTATATTGTTTCCCCTTTCTTAACTAATTCTATCATTGTCTTGAGAACTCACTTTCTCATCAGTTTTCTGACTAATCTTCCTATAAGCTCAATCTTGCTATTTGTTTGATTGTAAGCCGAGTCATTTAAAGCATGAGATTGTCATAGACAATATGGTCGGAGAGCGGGAGGGAATGCACAGGTTACGAATAGGGTGACAATATAATCTACAGACTCAATTAAGTTCACCATCCTCACATTATTTTACCCGAGATCGGGCCAATCATGTCTTTACTGCATAACCGGGACAAAACATCTGTATGGCGTGTAGGTAGCAATGAATCCTTGGAATTGTTTCGTATCTTGTTTCTGGTTCCTGCTTTGACTAACAAAACTATGGCAAGGCCAGAAGGACGTTTACATCACACACTACGACTTGTAGAAAACTAATGGATTTGAGCGAGCGATCAAATTCCGGGCGAATGTTGGGAATTTTATTCATCAGATACTTATCATGCAGAGTAGTATTTAATTTTAAATGAGGCTCTGCATTGCTCCACTGATGGCTACAGGATTTCAGTTAAACTTTATGGATTCCATGCTCATAAAGAGTCGGAGACCTTGTGCAAAGTTCAGCGTCCTCTGCCATATCATTCATAATAATTTATAGAATCTGACCGTTGACTTGATACATCCCAAGCCGTTTTGTCGGCATCGTCAATGAGAGGCGTCATCCTTTACACACCTTATCAAAGTGAAATGGAGTTGAGAGAGAGGCTGCACTAGAAGCTAGGACAAAAGGAGAGGAAAGATGCCGCAACGGTTCAACAGAAAATTGGTCAAGAGGATTGCTTTCATCTGTCACTTTGATCAGTTGTAACTCCGTGCTAAGGATTGCGCCTGCCACTGACGATGGCGGCGAAATGTCTTGGAACAGTACAATGCTAGAAATTATCATTCAGGCCATGGAAGAGGACGGAGAACTAGATACATTCCATAAGGTGAGAACGAGGTGAAACCAACACTAATAAGTTGGTTAGATTGCTTGAATTACTATTAGCTTGAAACTGAGTGAATAATGTAGTCCAGCTAGGAAGATACGTGTTGTTTGATGGATGAGAGTTTCCAACTCAACAAAAGAGTTGATGACTGTCTGCAGAATTGCATAAGTAGTGTCGAACCATAGCAGTCAATGTAAAATACGCCATCGCCTCCTGATGAGATTAAGAGCAAACTCAACATATTTCCTCGAATTGGGACTCCTAACAGTC